GCTGACATATGAGTTGAAATAGATCCGGTGGTGAAATAGATCCGGGGGTGAAATAGATTCGGTACTGGCTTGAGCTCACATATGAGTTGAAATAGACTCGGGGGTGAAATAGACCCAGCATAGCCTTGAGCTGGCATATGTGTATGGTATGCGGTTTTTTTGGAGAACTCACTAAGCTTTGTGCTTACGGTTTTCAATTTATGTTTCAAGTAATTCCAGATCGAAATGGAAGAGTTCGGGATGATCGCATCGCACACACTATGACTTTTCCGCTTACTGACTTTGATGCACTTTTGAGATGTTATTTAAATTACTCAAATTACTTTATGGTTTTGATAAATATTTTTGGTTGATGGTTTTTTTATATAAAAACAAAAACTTTTGGTTTTAAGATTTTGGGACGTTACATTTAGACTCCATTATCATATCCAATACTACTACCCCAGTATAAAGTGATCAAAAAAGGACGTTCTAAAGCCATAATGATAAATACCAGGAATGTAATTTCACCAATAATTTATAAAAAAATAAGTAAACTATTTTCCTACGTATAATTTTTAACATTAAATATATACAAGATATTTAGAAAAGAGTATGTATCGTATAATTAATTCATGAACAGAATTCTGAAACTAAAGATACAAACAAATACAAGTTTGAGAGGAAATTTTCTTAATGAATGAATGATGATGGAAACTATGAACATAATAATCTAATTTATAACTCAAAAAAATATATATTGATTTGATAATTTATGTAGTTTTTTTATATTTTTTCAGATACATAGGTCTAACTTCTACTTTTTTTTTCTTTTTTTCCTTTTTTCCTGTTAGAAATGACAAGTCAAGCTTCAATTATTTAACATTAGGATTTTCAATTTCATTTTTAATTTTTATGTTAGTTTAGTCTTACTTTAATAATTCATTTTGTTTTTATTTAACTTTATTATTTGCTAGAAATAATATATAAATTTTATCAATTATTTTTTATAAATAGATTTATATATAATATGTAAAGGTATAATATAT